GCTGGGGAGGGGGGCTAAGTCCACTGCCCTGAAGGCTGGCTTATCGTTTTTCTGTAAATTTATGCCCACAGACTTAGTGAGTGCCTTCATGTGCCAAGCCTGGAGGCGAATGTTTGGAGGGTACCAAAAAAGTAGATGGCTCTGTTATGGGTGATGAAAAATATTGGACACAGATAATGGTGATAAACAACTAATGTCACTGAATTGCACATGGGAAAAAAGGTTGAAATGGCAAATATTTTGTTGCATATATATTTGCCACAATTAAAAAAAAAAAAAACAGTAAGAATAAAACAGTAGACAGCATTATCCTTACCTTCTAGGAGGGGTCTCTACTGGTGAGAAAAAGTGAAGACAAGGCCAGGCATCCCAAGTGGCAAGTATAATATAAAAAAGAATGTTTGTTGAAAATCCCTCATTGCAGCTTTCTTTCCATTCCCCAATACAGAGCTATTCATAGTTTTAATGTGGAAATGTACATTCATTCATTCACTCATTCAACAAATATTTATCAAGTACTCCCCCAAACCAAACTGAACTTTTGCTGGATGTCATGATTTGCCCATTATCTTTTCGGTTATCTTAGGCTTTAGGGTGGTTAGCTTTAGTCTCCATGTTTCCCTTTATATCCAGATCTCTAAATTCCCGAACACTTTCTCTTCGTTTTGTTATGTGCCGTGGAGTCAATTCTGACTCATAGAGACCCTATAGGGCAGAGTAGAATGGCTCCATAGGGTTTCCTAAGCTACAATCTTTACGAGAGCAGATCACCAGGTCTTTTCTTCATCTCAGCTGCTGGTGGGTCAAACCTCCAACCAGTGGGTTGGCAGCTGAGCGATTAACCATTGTGTGATTGGGGCTCCTTTTGCTTTGGTCCTGTTTCTACTATTTGTATTCTACTGAACCAGTGATTGGCAAGTATGACCTCATTGTCTCCCCACTTGTTTACCCAATTAGCAGAAGCCAATCTGCTGTCTATTCTGGTATGTGCACACACATACACATACACTCTGAGGGACTCAGAAGAAAAGTACTATTCCCTCTCTTCCTTCTCCTGCCCCACCCATTTGCAGATGGATGGAATGATGCACAGAGAGAGAAGTTCACTGCCTTAGAGCAAGTCAATTAAGGGAAGGATACCCAAGTCCTTCAGGTCCCTGGTCTTTCTTACAGAGATGCTCCCTCTTGGAAGAAAGTAAGAAGTAAGGGGGTAGAGCAGTATGGGCTTCCCCACCAAGATGCCCAACTTACCCATAAATCAGTTTCCAATCAAACCTCTCCCTTGGGATTGAGTTACAAACCTCAGTAACCCCAAAGCGGCCTGCCTGGTAATTCCTATTATTCAGCTGTCAGTTTTTTTTTTTTTTTTTTAAAAAAAAAAAAAACCCTCCCTTCCCAGTGATCCAGTTACCTGCTTGTTTTAGGGCCCATTCCTTGTCTCAGAGAGAAATCCTATAGCCAGGTGAAACAATGGAGAGGGCTCCCAGCTGCCCCACTTTCTAAGAGAGCTGGATTTTCTCTCTGTTGAAAGCAGTCTTCCCTTAACTCTTTGCATCCTCCCAGCTTGCTGGGAAAGGTCCGCCTCTCTCTCAGGACTCCTTACTGATGCCTTTCAGAGCAACTTTGCCTCTCCCTGGGGAGTTCCTTCCAGAGTTGGCGTCAGTCAGCAGAAGAATAAAAAAGTTGGGGCAAGGGGTGGGAAAAGAGAGACAGAGAGATAGGGAGGGAAGGAGGGAGAGAGAGAGAGAGAGAGAGAGAGAAAGAGAATGCTCAACATAACGGTTGCCACTATGGCCATTTGCTCTGAGCCCAGTCAAAAGAGTAGGGATTGTTAGCATATTGCTATTAGTCAGGAGGTCCAGAAAATGTCCAGGTCCCCAGCCCAGCAGGTCCTGGAACTTGCTAAGTATGCCCTGTGCTGGAGAGGAGAAAGGGACACTGAGGGAAGGGTCTGCTTTGATGGTGATGAGAGGTGGGGAGTGAGGCTCCTGACCTCCCTGACCCTTTTATCCCTGACAATCTTCTCTGGTTCCTCCCGTTCAGAAGGCTGGGCCTGCTGCTTGACCTTAGAGCCTGAGAGCACAGCAAGCCAAGCCACCACAGGGTGTCCTTCAGAACCAGCCTGAGGGCACAGGATGGGAAAGCTTGGGAGAGGAGGTCTTACAAAAAAATGTTACCAGAGGGTGTGGCTCTCCTTTATCTTAAAAGTTTCCCAGACCCACTAAGACGACCCCTGCGGCTCCCCAGCCTCATTGCCCCTCATTCCCCTACAATGGTGATTCTTGACCTTTTATAGGGTTACAGACCCCTTTGGGAAACTCTTGTAAGCTATGAAGCCATCCCCTACACACACACATACACACACATGCTCACATACAGACAGAGAGAAGAATGTTTACATGTACCCACAAAAAACAACTTAGCACAGTTTCAGGGGTTCACAGACTTCAAAGCAAAGGACCCTGGTGAGCGTGGTGAGTATGTGAATTCTAGATAAAAACCCTCCTCTGCTAATTAGCTTCCTTTCCTCATGGACTCAGTTTCACCTTACCTGGTCTTGCTAAAGCAGACAGAGCTTTAGCAACTTGGGTGGATCAGTGGAGTTAGGATAATCCCCCCAGGAGGGCCTGTGTTACACTAGAAGACAGAATCAAACATTTTTTTGTCCTTCAGCTCAACTCTTGACCATTAGTAATGCCCATGGGCTATACTGGCCAGCTTGAGACAATGGCCCAGGAGGAAAGCCAATAAGAAGTAAAGAATGGAAGAAAGGAGAGGCAGGATGTGTGTGCTTGGCAAATGGTGGAGGGCTCTCCAAACTCCTACCAGGAGGCTGGGCTCAGTCTCCTCATCTCCCCATCATATGTGGCATGAGTTCTAGGTCACCGTGACCAGCTCTGACACTGCCCTTTGGCCAAGCCTCCCAGTAAAATAATATACCTCCTGTTGGCTCCAAGCACCTTTTGCTGGATATCTATCAACTCTTTGGGTGGGCGGGATGAAGGTGCTGGCCAAACTTGATGCCCCCTCTTTCCCTTGTTCCTCTTCTTTGTCCTTTGGAACAAGATTTTCCTACTCTAGCAAACAAAGCCCTCAATCTACCTGGTTCACTCTCTTCCAGGTGCCCACTGAAGGACTTAGGGAAAGAATGGGTAGGAAAAAAGAGACGTCAGGCTCCACTGGGCTATGGATCCCAGACTCACTTAACTCAAATCTGTCTGAGTCTACAACCCAGAAAGGGTAGCTTGTTGGTCAAGGGACCATCAATCTCCACCATTCCAAGTAGGTCAGGACCCCTTGTTGCTCACCCAGTCTGTTGCAGAACTGGCTTAATGTCACTGATTTCAGGACTCTTCACTTATCTATACTAAAATTCAGGTTTGGTGAAGTCATTCAAAGTCTGTAAAATATTTGCTGGCTCCTCTTCACCTCCAGAATACAGTACCGATTCCTCAGCCTGGCATTCCAGAAACACTTTTGTAATCTGGCCTGAACCTACCCGCCCAATGACCACCCTCCTAAATCCCAGTGTGTACCCAGTGATCCACCCAGTGATCCAATCATCTAGCCTGCCCCTGCTCCCCCAGAAATACTCTCCAGTTCAGCATCTTATTCTGCTACCCCTAGGCCTGGGCTGTTTAATCTGATTTTCCTTACTGAGAACACCCTGGATAGTACAGTTAACATTTTCAGCTGCTAATCAAAAGACTGGAGGTTCAAGTCCATCTAGTGGCATCTTGGAAGAAATACTTGGTGATCTACTGTTGAAAAATCAGCCACTGAAAACCCTACGGGAGCTCTGGTGTCGTAGTACCTAAGACATTTGACTGCTAACGTTCAAACCCACCAGCCACTCCTCAGAAGGAAGGCTGGGCAATCTACTTCCATAGTGATATCGCCTCGGTAACACAAGGAGGGGTCGCTATGAGTCCGGACCCACTGGATAGCAGTGAATGAAAACCCCATGAGGCACAGTTCTACTCTGATAGACATGGGGTCCCCATGAGTCAGAATTGACTTGACTGACAGCAACTGATTTTTTTACTTATTAAAATTTTTCTCCACCCTTCAAGGCCCTGCTCAAAAGCCATCTCCCTAGAGAAGAAGTTCTCAAGTCTGCATTGTGAATTTTTCTGCATCCTCCAGCAGTCATTATTCCTGGAATTAAGACATTTTATGCTGCTTTCCATTATTTTCTATCTATCCAAGTGAATTGTAAACTCCACTAGGGCACCGGGTTTTTGGCAACAAACTTCAGGACTTGGCACAAAGTAAGTGCTCAATAAATGTGAAGTAGCCCAGAGACTCTCTTGCCAGTACGGCAAGATCACAGGACATGTGTTCTGCTAGGGCACCATAAACAGGATGCTGATGCTTGTCTAGTAGCCCCTGCACTCTTGATGTCGCGTCTCCTCAGCCAGATGCTTATTTTGCAACTGTCCAAGCCCAGTCAAGAGACATGAGAGTACCTTTGGATGTGTTTGATCTAAACGTCGCTGAGTAACAGCGCCAGTAACAGCTTCACACAGTTCTGAGCTAGTTTTGCTCTGACCCGCTCCGCAAGCGGGAGGGCGCTTTGCCCCAGACCGGGATTCACCAGGTCCCTCACCTTGCATCCACAGATCGCCGCCGGTCGCGTCTAAAATCTCTTACCCTTGCTTCAGGACGTGACTTAATTATCCAGCCAATTCTACAAACAGAAAAGACGAAAGTCGCTTTGGCGCCCCCTCTCCACCTTTTTAATGGAGAGGACTTAGGGGCTCTCTGGTGCTTCCAGTACCCGCGTTTGAACAGAATTCGTGCGGAGAACCGCTCTATAACTGCGCTTCTGGAAGGGGTCGGAATTTTGCTCGGCCCCTCGCAATGTTTCCAAGGGAAGGTTCGCACATTGTTGACCGTCCCTGGCAGCCTCCCAGCCTGGGACGTTGGGGTTCCACTTGCCATTGGCCAGACCTAGCCGTGACGCACAGAGAGGCGGAGCCTCATCAGCTGTTTGCAGGATGCCCAGAGCGGGCGTATTTTGGAAACAATACCGCGAGGTGCCTAGTGGCCTCCTCCCGCGCCGGTCCACGGCCACTGCAGCCGCCGCCCCTTCCCGCGCCTCACGCCTCCCTCCGCTGCCCGGTGAGCGCCCGGGCAGCCGGGGGCCGGGAGGAGTTGGATCGCACCTTCTCGGGGAAGTGGGGAGTGGAGTCGCGCTGCGCGTGGGGGCCCGGGAAGGGTTGGTCTGCGGGTGTCTGGGATGAACATGAAGCACTGGGACGCTGGGGTGCGGAAACAGGGTGCACAGCCCACATCTGGATGCTCTGCCCCAGGAGGGAACTTGAGGATAGCATTTGAGACTCAGCGGAATTGGGTCCTGGTGGGAAGGGGAGTCTGGGTGCACTGCTGAGCGGACCTGGGGGCCCAAGAACGGCCCAGCCTCTGGTTCTGACTTTGTGGTAGAGCAGGGAGTTGTGGGGCGTCCTGCCTCCCTGCGGAGTTTGAAGTCTCTTCTCCTTAACAGCTGGGCTTTCTCCCTCCTTCCCAATCGAATCTGGGCGCCAAGTCCCCGATTGCTCGTCACGCTGGACCCTGGCGCGGAGCCCTGGCATCACGACTCAGAGGCCGAGACACTCTCCTGGAGTCACCCAGGTCTGCTGTGTGTGTGTGTGTGTGTGTGTGTGTGTGTGTGTGTCCGTCCCAGATTTTAGCCACAGCCAAGGCAGAGAGTCTGGTCACTGCTTTCTCCTGGGAGGAGTCTAAGTGCAGCATCCCTGTTAGAGCCTTTAGAGCCTGGGATCCCTCCAGCGGGTTGTAGTTCCTCCTACTAGGAATAAAGCCTTTCCTGGCGGTGGTCTCAGAAGTGCTCTCCTCACACCAGTCTGGACGTCACCTCCTCAGCTCAGGGGAATAGGCAGGAGAAAGTCTCTTCTAAGCTTTGTTCCTGTTTAAACTTGAACTTGCCCAGCACTCCTCTGGACCTCTCACCACAGGAGAGCCACCTGCAGTACACGTGGAGAGTGGAAGGGATTCCCGGGGCTTGCGGAGTGACACCCTCTGGCTACACCTCTGCCACTGTCCAGACCAGGCAAGGGTCTAACTTTGGGGCTTTGCTGGAGGGAGAGGGGGAGGTGACAGGCTTTAAAGAGAATAATGATTCCTGCTTGTGATTGGTCTTCAGAGGGCCCCTTCTTAGGTTGTAGCCATCATTCTGGGTTTGCCAGCCTGTAGAGAGGAGGTTGAAGGGCAGGAGGGAAGCCCCTGCCAGGTGATTGACAGGATAGCACTTGGTCCATTCAGTGGGAAACTTTGTTTCCTGGTCCTGCTAACCTGGAGTTTTCTCCCCTTTGGGAAACACTATCCTAAAAATACCATGTGCCTGCTTTTTCATCTTGGCAGACATCTCACTCTCCAGGGAAGAGGGCAGAGACAGGAACATAGATAGTTCATGGAGGAAGGACTGAGGCAAACACCCCAGAGAGAGTCTGCATTGGGGTGAACAAGGATTTCTGAATTGTACTGAGATTCCTTCAAGTACTTAACCAATCCCTAAAACATTTGACTTGTTCTTCAAAGGCAAGAGAATAGGGGACAGAATCCCCAGAGTTCTCTAAATTGAGTCTGTCTCTCCATGTCCTTAACCATGGAAGTGGTTGCTGTTTCTGGCCCCAGGAGCCCAAAAGCGTTCCTGGTGTGTGTGTGTGTGTGTGTGTGTGTGTGTGTTGGGCTAGGTTAGGAGCTCCAAACGCAGACTTCCAAGAGCCATCAGGTGGAGCAAGAGGAACTTCTTTATTACCAAGAAACTCAGATCAACTCTGTGAGGTGACAAAGAGAGGGCCAAATTTCACTTCTTTCTATGAGGCAGGTTGTACCAATCTCAGGTTCAGCGCTGGTAATAATGGTAAGCTGTTGGGACGGGGAGTAGAGGTCATGGAGACTAGTGACTAGACTGAGCTAGGGGTGGGTGGACACTTTATGGAATGCTGGATCTGCCCCCTCTAGGCCTAGCTGTGGTGGGCAGATGGCTCTTGTCTCCTCAGGAGAGCTGCAGTGACTAACTTAGTGGGTATTTCTCCCTTCTCTCTCACAGGACACACTCTTACCATGCTTACCATGCCGTTGAGCCTGTTTGTTGTGTTGAGCAAGTAGGGGGTGGAGAGTAGGTGGGTAGCAGGGCGGGGCTTAGCAGGTTTGGAGGGAAGCTGGCTGCAGAATGATTGCTGGCTTTTGTTACTGCTGCTAAGCCTGGAGCTCAGCTCAGTCTGAGATGAGAGCTTGGTGGTACTCCTTAGGTCAGTGATTGTGTGTGTACACTGGTGTACAGCCAGTCAGAAAGGTCACAGCACCCTTCTGCCCTCCTTCAGTGGCTCAAAGAGACTTGCCTTGTTTACATTTCCCTAGGTACCCTGTGTGCTTATAGCAGCTGATCTTACCCCTGCTGTTGCTCACAACACTCAGAGTCAAACTTCGAGACTGGTCTGGGTCAGAAGAAGAGGCCAAGGGGAGGGTGGCTCTGGGTGGTCTAGGGAAGGATTGTGAAGAGTCCTTGAACATGAGACATTCCCCACTTTGGGGGTGGGTGTCACCCTAGGCAATGCTTTACCTGCAGGGTAGTGTGTCATTAGTACTTGGCTCAGCTTCCTTAAAAAAGATGGGGGAGCAGGGAAGAGGAAGGGAGGGGAAAGGAGGGAAATCCTTCCAGGGATGATCTGGGTGAGGCAGAACCCCAGATGCCTGTGTTGCTCACTGACAGGAGAGATGGAACCACCTCAGTGTGTGGAGGAGCTGGAGGATGATGTGTTCCAACCAGAGGATGGGGAGTCTGGGACGCAGCCCCGGAGCTTGCTCTCTGCTGACCTGTTTGCCCAGAGCCAGCTGGACTGCCCCCTCAGCCGGCTTCAGCTCTTCCCTCTCACCCACTGCTGTGGCCCTGGGCTTCGACCCTCCAGCCAGGAAGATAAAGCCACTCAGACCCTCAGCCCAGCCTCCCCAAGCCAGGGTGTAATGCTGCCTTGTGGGGTGACCGAGGAACCCCAGCGACTCTTTTATGGTGAGTGCTCTTAGCCTCAGAACTCCTCCCATAGAGATTGGGAGGAAAGAAGGGACTTTCCCTCCCCAAACCTGCCCTTTGCTATTTCCTTCCCCAGATTGAGCAGCAGTGGCAGTTCATTCCTCGATTCTTACCTTCTGCCTCTCTGCTTGGTGGTGCTCCTTAGGCCCTAGGCAGGCCTATCTTTTTGCTCTTTGGTCCCTTCCTAGAAGGATTCTTGGGTCCATAGTGTTTTCTTGGGCTGAAGAGAGGGTAGAAGGTCTCAGCATTTCCATCCTGTGCCCCCTTGAGTGGCCCAGCCATTTATGTTCTGGTGGTGATGTGCCTTCCATAGTGGCTGATACTGCCCTGAAGAAGGCTGGGAGCTCTGTGACTGTAACACTGAAGGGGAAAACCCAGCCCTTTCTGGGAAGGAAGGTTCCTCAATGCAGAAGGTGGCCCCCAATTGTCACTTGGGACTTTCTGTGATGGGAAGGGGAACTGGAGAAAGAAATCGTCCTGCCTGGGTTCTATGCCAGCAGAGGGGCTCTTTCTAAGGCTAAATCTGACAAGACTCCTTCATTTGTGGGCTTAAATAATTTCTTTTATGAGACATATCCCCTCCTCTGGCAAAAGGGCAGGACAAGTCACTTATTCTATTTTCTTCATTTAATACAATAGCTCTTGGAGGGAGGGAAAAGGTTCCGCGGAGATGCTGCAGTTATTCCCAGAAGGAGCTGCCCTGTAGGGGATTCTGGCAAAGTGATTCTGGCAGGAGTCTGAAAAGTTGGATGAGACAGAAGAGAATAATGACAGAGGAGGTGGGCAGGCGGGCGCCCCTAGTGGCAGCTCTGATGCCAGTGCTTGGTAGATGTGGAGATGCTGCTCTGAAGAGCTCCCCTTGGCTTCCACCAGAAGAACCTGGCTGTTCGGTGGGTCTGAGTATTTTTTTCTCTCTAGTTTTTGTCCTGCTGCCCAGAGCTTCCAGAGCTGAGACCAGCATTCTTTTCTTCTTCTTCTTCTTTTTTTTTTTTTAATTGTGATTTGGGTGAAAATTTACAGAGCAAATTCACTTTCCATACAGCAGTTCACATACACTTTGTCTCATGACATTGACACCAATTCACCACAATGCAACAACTCCCCTCCCACTTCCTCTCGTCAATCACCTCTTCCCTGTGTCCATCCCTCCATGGCACCCTTGCCCCCTGAGCTGTCTCCCTGTGCATAAACTGCTCTTCTTTCTCCCATGATTGTTCTCTCCAAGCAGTGTATCTACTTCAGGTAAATGTTCAACTCCTATTCCTGTTTTTTGTTTGGCTGGAAGCCACAGCTGTGGGTTCAATTCCAGACCTGAAGGGCAGCTAGGGACCATAGTCTTAGTGGTTCCACCAGGCTCTATCAGACCAGCAAACCTGGTCCCCTTTTTTTTCCAAATGATTTTGAGTTTTGTTCTACATCGTTCTCCCTCTCTATCCAGGATCTCCTACATAGACCGCCCCCCCCCCCCCGAGTGGTTGACAGTGGTAGCTAGGCACCATCTAGTTCTGAGACCAGCATTCTTATGCGGTACCAAAAAAGTGAACATATTTCTTGATCTTCTCATTCTTTGCCCCTTGCTTTGTTCAACCCAGCTGCCTCCAGTGCTTTTCTAGAGGAAAGCTTCAACCTGCTACTAAAAAATACCCAGACCCACTGCTGCCTAGTCAATTTGGACTCATAGAGACTCCCATTGGGTTTCCAAGCAGTAAATCTTTACAGAAGTAGATTGTTCTATCTTCCTTCCGTGGACCGACTGGTGGGTTTGAACCGCCTGCCTTCTGGCTATCAGTGCCTTAGGCACTGTGCCACCAGAACTCCTTCAGCCTGCTATTACAGGAATAAAAAATTGTGATCAAGTGTAGCCTGCCTAGTAAATAAGGGTGAAAGACTGGCAAGTTCACCAATATGAATTGCTACCTTGGCCTTTGCCATGGCTGTGAAGGGGAGACAGGGATTATGCTCTTCTACTCTCCCAACACAAAAGGTTAAAGACTTTGGGCAGCAGGCAAATCAGGCTGTCTAAGCTTGGCAGCATGCCCTGATGAAGACAGGCTGGGTTCCCCTTACTTCCCACATAGGGTTTACCTCGACCCTGAGTCTAGCCCTAGTGCAGGCCATGAGGAGGATGGAATTGTGGAGAATGCTAAGATGTGGGCCCTCTATCTTTTGCAGGCAATGCTGGCTACCGGCTCCCTCTCCCTGCCAGTTTCCCTGCAGGTTTGCCACTTGGGGAGCAGCCCCCTGAAGGGCAGTGGCAACATCGAGCAGAGGTACAGATTGCCCGAAAGCTTCAATGCATTGCAGACCAGTTCCACCGGCTTCACGTGCAGCGGGTAGGCATGGGGGCTGGGGGGCCAGGGCATGCCTCTCTCCTTTCGTCAGCCACTTTGTCTCTGCCAGGCCTCAAGGATAAGGTCCCAGAGTTTTGGTCTTGGCTATTGTAATTTCCAGGGACTGGATGGACCTGACTGGATGAGTACTTGTGCCTTCATGTCTGAGCTCCAAGTTGGTTATCTGTTCATTCCTAGCTCAGGCACCTTGAGAGTAGGATGCTGGGAGAGGCTATGATAGCCTGCTAGGAATGGGTGACTTTCTGCACACTGGATTGACAGACTGTTGCTTCTCAAAGCCAGAGGGATTGTCCCTCACAGACCTAAGGGAAGGTTTTCGGGGTGCTGCAGTGAGACTGGACAGTGGAGGGATGCCTGGCAGAGGTGCAGTGGGAAGTGGGTAGCCAGGCCTAGAGATGGGGCCTGAGTAGGGGAAAGTGGTGGAACCGGTTGTAACCTGACACTTTTCAGCTGGGGAGCTGCTCCTCACTGTCTCTGTCTGGGAACTGAGGCCTGGGACTCTAGAGAGTGTACCTCAGAGAGTCTCTCCAGACCAGCAGGCCGGCAGCCGGGCACTTAGCCGGGTGCTTGGCCAGCAGCCTGGCACCAGTCCCACCAGGGTGGAGCATCGCGTGTCAGCCGAGCATGTGGCAGAGTCCATCAACAAAGGCGGCGGCTGGCAGGCTCGTGCTGGAGAAGCCTTCTGTGCCACAGGCTGGAGGCTGCCCGGCTGCAGAGTCGCTTTCAGAGCTGGGCCCCCAGGCACTTAACCCTTCCTCTCTGGACTTACTTTCTGGATGTCTGCCAAAGTTGGGATCCCTGCTAGAACAACCCCTGCTGTAGCAAAGGCACACCACCCTGGAAATGAGTATATTCCTTACCCTTGGATCCAACTTGATGGCAGTGCATTGTGTTGTGTTTTTGAGACTGATGTTCCTTGCTAAGCAGGGTATGTGTCTGTCAGTGTCTGTCAAGAAATCAAGGGAATAATAAATACTTCTCCATGATTGGCAGACCCTATGGATAGCTGGGTACCTTCAGGTGATTGGAAGGGAATTATGGGGGCAGTGGTGGCCCAGTGGTAGAATTCTTGCCTTCCATGCAGGGGACAGGGATTTGATTCCTGCACCTGACATGCAGCCATCACCCAGATGTCAGTGGAGTTTGGAGTGTTGCTATGATGCTGAACAGGTTTCAGCAGACCTGCCACACTAAGACAGACTAGGAAGAAAGGCCTGGCAATCTAGTTCCAAAATTTAGCCAGTGAAAAGCCTATGGATCCCGACAGTCTGATCTGTAACCAATCATGAAGATGATGCAGGACCAGGCAGCATTTCCTTCCAGTGTGCTAAGCTCACCATGAGGTGGGAGCGAGTCAATGACAGCTAGTATCAGTTACAACAAGGCCAAACCATTGCTAGCAACAGGGGGACAGGGAGTAAGGGGAGGAACTGACCCTGGGTTTCCTGAGAAAAAGGAGCTCTGGTGGTATAGTGGTTAAGGCATTTGGCTACTAACCAAAAGGTCGGTGGTTTGAACCCACCAGCTGCTCAGTGGAAGAAAGATGAGGCAGTCTGCTTCCATAAAGATCTGTAACCTTGGAAACCTGGTCATTATGAGTTAGAATCAACTCTGTGGCAGTGAATTTTTTTTTTTTTTTCTGAGACCAGGCCATCAGGTGTTCATTGTGTTTAGTGCCCTCTGCCAAGGAGCTCTAAGGAAAGAAGTAGGGCTAGCTATGATCTTGGTAAGCTGTCCCTGGTGACTTAGTGATCAGGAAAGGAGGGTAGCCCTATGCTTAGATAATAAGGCAGCCTGGCCTCCTCTGGCCTGGAGCTCCAGTCTGTCTTACCTCCTTTGAGTGTTATGTGGAAACTTGGCTTAGAGTTTCCCCTTCAGTCCATGTGTTGGCTCACTCTGGTTCTTGGTTTCATTCTCTTGGCCTTCTTCCTGGCCATTCACTCCACCCTCGTTATTCCAGCCAGTGGCTTAGCCCAGCTCAGAGCTGATAGGAGGACACAGTGGCTGTGGGTCTTCTAGACTCATCTCAGTTGTCTGGAAGGTAGCTTTCTTCATTTGCAGTGGATCTGATCTCTCAACAGTGGTTTCTCAGAATATTCCCCCATCCTCTGAGGAGCTCTATAGGCTTGGGAGCAGTCTGGGAGGCCTCCTTTGCCAAGCTGTGCCCTGGCTCAGGACTAGAACACAATCTAGGAAGCCTTCTTCTTGATGCAGTCCTGACCAGGATGGAGCGGCCTGAACCTGCTCTTTGTTGTTTGGCATTATTCCCCCAGTTTGGGATTGCTTCTTTGATGGCATGGGGTCAACCCAGTAGTCTTTCTGGTTAGCTCTAGAGAGAATGCTGTCCTCTTAGCCAGAGCCATCCCAGATGGGGAAGAGTAGGAGCCAAGCAGGCAAAGCTGGAAGACCACTGCGTAAGCCTCTTCCCATCCTGTATCTCACTCCCCACTGGCTCCTGAAATCCCTGTGCCCCCACCTACTTTCCCTATGCCCACACACACACCCTCCTGCCACCTGCCTACTTCTCCCACTCTGCAGTAGCAGGAAGCTAGCCAGCGAGGCCTTTCTAGCCCAAAGAGTAGTTTTCCCAAAGTGCTAGACCTCACTTTTCATCTTCTTGAGAATTCTCCCTGGAATCCCTTGCTTTTAACAGTTCTCCCCACTAGCTGCTCACAGACCTTCACCAGCAGTTCAAACTGTGGAAAGGGCTGGGATGATGGCTACAAGTAAATAGAGTCCTGGTACCCCTTCTAGGACCTTTAGCAACCAGTTGGGTTTTTTTTTTTTTTTTTTAATTGTGATTTGAGTGACAGTTTACAGAGCAAATTCACTTTCCATACAGCAGTTCACATACACTTTGTTTCATGGCATTGACTCCAGTTTCCCACAACGCAACAGCTCTCTTCCCACTTCCTCCCCATAGTTACCTCTTCCCTGTGTCCTTCCCTCCATGCACTCCTGCCCTCCCCCCAGCTGTCTCCCTACGCATACACAGTCCTTCTATTCTGCTATGATTGATCTCTCCAAGGAGTCTATCTACCTAATGTAAATGTTTACCTCATATGCCTGTCTTTTGTTTGGCTGGAAGCCATAGGAGTAGGTTCAATTCCAGACCTGAAGGGCAGCTAGGCGCCATAGTCTCAGTGGTTGCATCAGGCTCTATCAGACCAGCAAACTTGGTCTTTTTTTTGTTTTTTTAAATGATTTTGAGTTTTGTTCCACATTGTTCTCCCTCTTTATCCAGGATCTCCTACATAGATCCCCCTCTGAGTGGTTGACAGTGGTAGCCGGGAACTATCTAGTTCTTCTGGTTTCATAGTCATATATTTAGCAACTAGTTTTAAGAAGTGAGTCATTTTCTGAATTTGATTTTTACAGAACTATGGTCCCCCAGAGCTCCTATGGTCTAATATTTCCAATCTTGAAAGTACTACTGTCACTCCTACATTCTTGCTTATCCTTTGTCTTCTTTCCCTATCCCTTTCCCTCATCTTTGTAGGTAGGGAAATTGAGGCACTAGAAAGGAAATGATTCAGAATTAAGTCTCATGGCTTTGAATTAACAGTCAAAAGACCTAGGTTTAGATACTAACTCTGCCGCCTACTAGCCAGTGGAAGTCACTTGACTTCACTGAGCCTATTTTCTCTTCTGTAAATTAGAGCTAATACCACAGAATTTTATTGTGAATATTGAATGGGAGAGTATTTATGAAATTCCAGGCACATAATAAGCCAGTTTCCATTAGGTTGATTCCAACTTATGATGACCCCACATATGTTAAGTAGAACAGTTCAAAGATAGATCGTCAGGCTTTTGGTTAGCAATTAAGTGCATTAACTGTTTGTACCACCCAGGGACTCTGGGCATATAGCACATTTTCTTTAATGTTTGTTTCCTCTGTCTTTTTATAATCCTGTTCACCCCCCACATTTGTTCTTGTTTGGTCACAGTTCATTTCCTACCTACCCTCCAAGCTGATCCCTGAGCAGAGCTGCCTCCCCTGAACTCCATTCTTCCTGCCCTGTCCAGGGAAATCTGTGTTCAAGCTGTTCACTTTTGGGCCTTGGCTGCATAAAACCAAAAACCAAACTCACTGCCATCAAGTTAATGCCAACTCATAGCAACCCCCCTTGGGTTTCTGAGGTGGTAAATCTTTATGGAAGTAGATTGCCCAGTCGTTCTTCCTCAGAGTGGCTGATGGATTCGAACCACCAACTTTCTGGTTAGCAGTCAGATGCCTTAGGCAATATGCCACCAGAACTCCATCGGCTACACAAGGGTTCCTTTTTTATTCATTTCTCCTCTGAAAATGATGGTCATTCCCATTGTTTTAGGCTGAGTTTAGGGAATACAGAGAGAAAATCTAAGAAGTAATAAAAAAAATTGAGGAACCCTGGTTACCATCTTTCTTCTCAGATCTGGGACAGTGTCCTGGGACCAGCTAGTGGCCATTGGTCCATGAGTCATAGAGGGAATGTGAGCTCCCCATTTTTGTCCCTGTTTACAGACCTCAGTTATTCTTTTTCTGTGTCAGGGGAAACCTCCCTAGCAGATGTGAAATAGAGGTGGGGAGGGTGTGAGGAGGGGGTAGTATGTTATAAAATGACATTATGGCAAATTGGGGAGCTCTGGTGGTGTAGTGCTTAAGGCATTTGACTGCTAACCAGAAGGCTGGCGGTTCAAACCCACCAGCCACTCCCCGGAAGGAAGGTTGGGCAGTCTACTTCCGTAGTGGTACTGGCTTGGAAACCCAAGGATGGGTTGCTATGAGGTTTTTTTTTGTTTTTGTTTTTGTTTTGTATGGTACATTGAGTGTACCAGTATGATCCCAGATGCAAATTTCCAAATTTCCCTGGGTGTCAGTGTATACAGGCCAGAAGTCCTCTCAGTATATTTCCCTGGGAGGAGGTCTAGCCTGGCTGCCCAAGGATCAGTTCTGGGTGGCTCCTCTGGACCAACAGTCAAGAAACTGGAGGCAAAAG